TGCTTTCCACACTCAAAGAACATCTACTTCTTGCATTACTTGACCTCACCAGGGTGACAGTTTTACAAAGGAGATATTACTTTAGTCAAGGGTACTTGCAAATTTAAATAAATAAATTAATAAAGCAAGAGGAAAAAAGCACCTGCAAATTAAAAAACAGAGGGGGCGGGGGAAATAAGCAGAGGAGAGGCTTGGAGGAAACAGCAGATGAGTTTCTTAAATGGAGAAAATATGTAGGGAACACTTAGGGAAAAGCTCTGATTATAGGTCAACTTTATTATCTGGCTTTACCAGTTAGTGGCAGAAACTGAAAGGATTTTGTCAATGGAGTGAAAAACGAGAAGATCCCCTCAAAATTCTAGCACTACATGTTGGTCAGGCCAAGTCACTGGAGGTCTGGGTGAGAGCTGACTTCTTTCTCTCCATGGGGAACTCTGGCCCCGAGTTCACACTCGCTGGATCGCTGTCCAGAAGATGGGAGTCATACAGAGCAGAAACGCTGCGCCTTGTGACACACTCAGGGGCGTCTGTGCAGCTCACCTGTGAACCACCTTTGCCCACTGAATTGTGCTGACGTGAGCAGTAAGGGATGCTGACTTCCAGCACTTCCTGAATGCTGGTCCTGGAAGCCCTCTCAGTCCTCCAAGCCTCAGGTGGACCAGCATCAGCCCTGGGAAGTTTTGTGAGAGCACTACTGACCGGGCCAGCCACTTCCACCCCAGAGATCTTGGCCTTCTTCTTCCCAAGCACTCAATATTCCTCCTACGGCCGACTGAGAGCTATTTAAGGGAAGAGGACTCTGCCACGTCCCCTGTGCCAAACACATGGCAGACGCTCAGTAAATGTCAGGAGATGAATAACATAACACACGATCACTCTCTTCACTCCAGGGCCTGTCTTTTTGCACAGAGTTCATGATCTATAGTCACGAATAGATCTTACAGCAAGTGTGCTCAGGTGCTTGTCCCTAAAGCTGGCTGTTATACATACAAACAGCTTAAGAATGTCTTACATTGGGAGGCTGTGTCATGGCCAAGAGTGGCCCAAGGCTTCTGAGAGCAGTTCAGCATGAGGTATTTGAGAGACACCCACGATATCCAGCTGGGCACTGGATTTTAGGCTGAGCAAAGCACAAGTCAGACAATGACAACTAGTGTTCAGTTGTTTACAGCTGAACAACTATTTCCTCTCTTCACCAAGCAAATAATCTCAAGACGAAGAATAGGCCCTTATTCATCTTTCAGACAAGAAGAATTTTAAGGTCATGGTCCGCAGACAAAGGCAGACGTATCACAGCACATGAGTCAGGCTCACAAAGCTCAACACGCAGTTCCTTCCTTGACACGACCTCGGACTCTACAGTAACCGAGGACAGCTCACAGGGCCTCCGGAAGGAAGCGAAGGACGAGCCTCTGTCTGCATTTCAGACAAGGCACTGCTACACAGAATAAGCTGTGTAGCTTTGTCCAGAGAAAAACACGGAGTAAGGCTTTTTCCTGAATTCTAAGGCAGATTTTATTTCCCTTGACTCCCACACAAATCAGTGTTACTTCTTGTCCTGACATGAAGGGGGCAGGGAGGGGGAGAAGGAAAGGAGAAACTCTTAAAAAGATGAAGTATAACTCTTACTTGATCACTTTCGATCAACCCTACAAGACAAGTGGGTCTTAACTTCAATTTACTTATTTTTATCATTATTTATTTTTTAAACCTTTTGTCATGTAAATGTTTAAATATTCACAAAAGCAGAGAGCAGCAGCCCCACTAGCCAGGTTCAACAACACCGACACAGCTGATCATTCAGCTGCAAGCCAGTGCCCTTCTCCCCATGCCCCACTTCCGATTTTTAAAAAATTTGCTCCACTTTAGAGGTATGTCACTTGATGTCTCAGCATCTGCTTCCTGGTTATTCAGTTAGGAATCAGCATTCTTCTTCTTCTTTTTCTTCTTTTTTAAACCACATCCAGACAACCTAAGCTCCATGAAGGATTTTGCAAAGTGAGAATGGGAAGAAAATTCACTAAGTTTGTGGGCTTTATAAAGACCAATTTTGAGTGAGATATACAGGACATTTTGAAACATCCAACGAATCCAGCAGATTCTTTTTTTTTTTTTTAAGGAAATCTATTTTGCAATCTGGCACATTCTTTTTTAAAGATTTTATTATTTTTTTTCCTTTTTATCCCCAAAGCCCCCTTTGTACGTAGTTGCATATTTTTAGTTGTGAGTCCTTCCAGTTGTGCATGTGGGACGCCACCTCAGCATGGCCTGATGAGCGGTGCCATGTCTGCGCCCAGGATCGGAACCAGTGAAAGCCTGGGCCAACGAAGCGGAGTGCTCGAACTTAACCACTCGGCCACGGGGCCGGCCCAAGCAGATTTTAACTTATCTATCTCTTCAATTCAGTTCCTCCTTTCGACGGCCACAGCCCTAACTCATATTTTAGTAGCTGCTCACCAGTATTTCCGTAGCCCTCTCACATCTTCTTTCCTTGAGACTGAAAGAGACATCTTCCTAAAATATCTCCAGATCATGTCATTTCCCTACTTAAAACTCTTGAACGACCCTCACAACCTTAGAACAAAGCTCCCACACCTGAGCCGGGTTCCAGGCCTTTTCACCACCCAGCTCTCACCTACCTCTGGTGTTCTCTTTCCCCAAACCCTACGCCCAACATCTGTTCCCCCAGTCATACTGCTGATCTTTTGCACATGCTGTTCCTCTGCCTGTCTTCATCTGGTAACTCCTACTGTACCCTCAAAGCCGATTCAAACGTGGCCTCCCCCCAACACTGCTCCATGCTCACTGAGCCACTGGTCAGACCTCTCTGCCAGACTACGAGCAACTTGGGGGCATACACTTGTTTTTATTGCCTTTGTTTCCCCGGGACAAAGTATACTGCCTGGCATAAAATAAACACACGTTCGTGTCTAAATAAACGTCCAGTTCTTGCTATGCTCTGCTTATAAACTTTTCTTGGAAGAATAATTTATTGATGCATTTATTAACCATTTGCTCTGAAATCTACAGCTTGCAGGAGGAGTTGACTTTTAAGATCTGATCTGAAATAGATGGCATAAATCAGACGTAGGGGTCACTTTGACTACCTGACATCCATTCCTTCCCTCCTGTAACAGCTCCTTGATTTTCCTTGGGAAACTCGCTTTCCCACACGCTTACTGTGTTTCTAGTGGAACTGAGCTCTCCCCACCTTGAGGAGGGTTCTTCACCCAGACCTAGCTAACTGACCAGATTCACACTGATTACGGCCCAACTGAGTATCAGGCCCAGAACTTCAGCTGGAATTACAGGGAACAGGCCCTCTTTTCCCACAGGAGTGGTAAGTGGAATGGTGGTTTTAAAATATGTTCACAAACTCTTTGATATCAAAGAGTTACTAAGTCTTATACTTAGTAACACTGACCAATAGAACATGGCAGAAGTAACAGAATTCCAGAACCAGGTCATAAAAGGCACTGGGGCTTCCATCTCTCTCGCTCAGATCACTCACTCTGAGGGAAGACAACGTCCCTGTAAGGACACGGGGCTATGGAAAGGCCTACCAGGCAAGGAAATAAGGACTCCTACCAAGAGCCAGAGAGGAACTGAGGCCTCCAGTCATTAGCCATGTGAATAGCTGTCTTGGAATCAGATCCTCCAGTCCCAGTCAAGACTTTAGATGACTACAGCGCCATGTGAGTCCCTGAACCTTAATCACCTCACTAAGCCACTCCTGAATTCCTGACCCACAGAAACTGAGATAATAAATGTTTGACGTTTTAATCCATTAAACTTTGTGTTTTGTTATGCAGCAGCAGATAACTAACTTAAGTAGGTAGGATGGTGGGAACCTGAGAAAAAAGCCAACACAGAGGGAAACAGGGCAAACAGAAGGTATGCGAGGATGGAGGCTAATCAGAATCCCCTACACACCATTACCAAATCCTGAGGATCTCATTAAGCCCCTGGCTCCCTCTACTCCTGGTCTCCTGGACTTTCCCATACGAAGGCCAGTGGAATCCCTCCACAGGCTGAACCAGTTTTAATGGATTCCTGACACTTGAAGCCAAAAGCACTCCAATCAGGGCAACAAAGACCCAGAGAACAGGTAAAATGTCCCCAAAAATGTCCCCTTGCTACCAGGGTCATTTCCATGATTTCATATTTCCTACGGTGTATTTTCTCTTTAGCATACTCCATATTTTATGTATCTTATTATCTGCATCCTCCTGTAGAACTGAAGCTCCTTGAGGACAGGAATTCTGTTTTGTTGAGCGCTACGTCCTCGGCACCAGGACCATGCCTGGCACGCAGCAGACGCTCTCCAACTGCACCCTCACTGTGAAACTGCGATCAAAGAAGCGGTGCGGTCTGGTGGTGGCATTAGACCGACACCAGCAGCCGGTCCCTGGAGACGGGCACATCACACCAGCACCTCCGCTTTAAATCACGGGGTTTCTCGGAGAACCCCCGAGGAACTAACCTCAGGCGCCGCCCTGATAAGTAACTCATCAGTCTGCTCAAGGCAAACGCCCCCGGTCAGCGCTCGGCCGATCAGCTTGCGGGGGGTGGGCGCGCTCCCACAGCCCGGTGTCCTCTCCCTTCAGGAGGAGGATCCCCCCTACAGACGAGCCCTGGTCGCCGAGCGGGGCTTACTGCCAGGCTGACATGACAACGTCCTGACGCGAGGGCTGTGCTGCCCCCGGGGTGGGAAGTCTCCTACTGGGGGGTCCATCCAGTCTCCGGGGGAAGCCCAGGCCGCGGGCTCGGACCCGCCGACCCCCGGGGCTGAGCGGCCCCGGCTCCCTGCGCGGCCCCTAGCCCCCACGGCAGCACGGACACGCGTGGACTCAGTTCGGGGGAGGGAGGAGGGGCGTGGGCGGAGTCCTCGGGGCCGGGGCGTCCGGGGGGCGGGCCGCTGAGGTGGGGAGACGCGATCGGAAGGGAAGAGGGGGCCCGCGGCGGGCACGCGCGAGGAAGACAGCGCCGCGCTCACTCACCTGCCGCCGCGCCCTCTAGCCGGCGCTGCCGCCGAGCTCCTCGGCACCGCCCCCGAGCGTCACTTCCGGTCGCCCAGGGCGGGGCCGGAAGTGCGCGGGAGCGAGCCCCGCCCCGCGGCCGGCCTTGGTTGCTAAGCAACGCGCACCCCTTTGCTTGGGCCGCTGTTCTGGGTCCTGCGCGCCGGCTGGCGGACCTGGCCCGCACCTGTCCGCTCTGGGGTCCCCGGGACCGCGGGAGGGTGCGGTCGCCCCTGCCCAGCGCTGGCCTTGACAGTCCTATGGTTTTGAAGTCGAGTCTCCTGTGGCTTTATTCGCGTTCCACGATTATTAACGCGTCTGAGCATCTTCCATACGTTTATTGGCCAAGGCGTTTCCTCTTCTCTGAATGCCTTTTCTCGTCCTTGGTCCAGTTTTCTGTTGAATGGTTTGTCTCTTATTGTTTCCTAAGTTTTTATCAGTGACGTGTGTCGTGAACATCTCAGTTTGCGTCGTCTTTTCACTTCATGGTGCCTTTTGATGAACAAAAGTTTGTATTTTAATCTAGAAAATGAGTCAATCTTTTCTTTCATGGTTCATATTTCTCGTGTCTTGTTTAAGGATTCCTTCCCTACCCCAATTTACTCTCTCACTTTTTTTTCTAATGGTTTTAAAGTTTGATTTTAATATTTAAATCCTTAATTCAGTTTGGAATAGATTTAATGTGAGGTAAAGAGGTTATTTCATTTTCTTTTCCATTTGGATAACTAGTAGTCCTAGTGCCATTGATTGAGTTAGTCCCTCTTTTCCCCAGCGATGTGCAGTGTCACCTGCCATATTTTTTTTTAAAGATCGATACCTGAGCTGACCTCTGTTGCCAATATTCTTTTTAGTTTTTTTTATTTCTCCCCCAAAGCCCCCCAGTACATAGTTGTAGATTCTAGTTGTAGATTCTAGTTGTAGGTCCTTCTGGTTGTGCTATGTGGGATGCTGCCTCAGCATGGCTTGAGGAGTGGTGCTAGGTCCATGCCCAGGATCCAAACTGGTGAAACCCTGGGCCACCAAAGCAGAGCACACAACTTAACTAGTCAGCCACAGGGCCAGCCCCCACATCTGCCATATTTAAAAAAAAATTGTATATGCATGAATTTCTGGTGGTTTTTTAATGTTCAACTTTATTAATTTTATCCTAATGCTCACATGAGGTGTTCTGGATCAGATCAGTTTTTTTGTTTTTTTTTTAAGATTGGCCCTAAGCTAACATCTGTTGCCAATCTTTTCTTCTTCTTCTTCTCCTCAAAGCCCCCCAGTACATAGTTGTATATTCTAGTTGTAGGTTCTTCTAGCTGTGCTATGTGAGACACGGCCTCAGCATGGCTCGATGAGCGGTACTATGTCTGCACCCAGCATCTGAACCCGCGAAACCCTGGGGTGCAGTATCGTAGTGCACGATTTCTTAATAATTACCCCACAGTAATAATTCGCATGTTGAGTCCCTCACACCTACTCCCCATAGGCCTTACCCTGGGGCAGCACATAGAGAACTGATAGACATTTTTCCTGCCTGAGTGGCCCGACTCAACATTGGTGAGGGATGAGGAAAAATGACTGTTCTGTGTTTACAAAGGGGAAGAGGCAGCTGGCCTTCTGAAAGGGTCTCCTCACTGCTCCAGCCCTTTGATATGAAAATGAATCTAACCAGGGGCCAGGCAGCCCCAATGTCTCTTGTCTAACCTTTGACGTGTAAATATTGTGCCTAAAAAGATAACACTCCATTCTCCCCAGTCCCTAGGCACCTAATCCTGGCTGTAACCACTTGGCTCTCTGAGAGAGAGAGGGAAGCTATTACACTTTTGAATCAGAGCAATTAACTAGACAAATGGCTACAGGTCTAATTCTCACGGTATGTGAGGAGTCTGAGGTGACTAGGGCCCTTTCTGGGAGCTCTGGGGAATTGAAGGAAGTTCTATTTCCCCACAGCTTCTTTCTGGAATCTGTATTCTCTTCTGTTGTTCTCTCCACCCATTCTCGTGCAGGTACACACAATCTCGGTTACAACATCCTTATAATAACTCATGATGTCCAGTTGGACAGATACCTCCACCTTATCCTTCTCTTGGAAAGCTTCAGCCATTCATCCTTCAGTAAAATTTTACAATCAGGCCAAGTTTCACAGAAGAACCTCATAGGGGTTTTTTAAAGAATTGCATTGAATCCACAAATCACTTTGCAGGAGAACTGACAAGATATTATCTTCTAGCCACTTAATTTAGGCCTTCTGCGATGTCTTACAGTAAGATTTTTATTTCCTGCGTACACGTCTTTTGAATCTTTTGTTAGATTTATTCCTAGGCATTTTGTGGTCTTCAATGCTTTCGAAAATGGTGTCTTCAGGGGCCAGCCCACTGGCTGGCATTCCGCTTCAGTGGCCTGGGGTTTTTGGGTTCAGATCCCCAGCACAGACCTAGCGCCACCCATCAAGCTACTCTATGGCGGCATCCCTCGTAAAATAGAGGAAGATTGCCACAGATGTTAGCTCAGCAACAATCTTCCTGAAGCAAAAAGAGGAAGACTGGCAGAGATGTTAGCTGAGGGCCAAACTTCCTCACCAAAAAAAAAAAAAGAAAAAGAAAGAAAATAGTGTCTTTAAAAAATAAATTATATTTTCCATTCTTGGTATATAGAAATAGTGGATAGCCATCCATATATTATTTTTTAACCAGAAACTGTGCTAACCTCACTGTTTTTAATACTTTATTGGTGGATTCTTTTGAATTTTCTAGGAATATAATCATATCATCTGAAGAAAGACAATTTTGTTTTTTCCTCCTTGATCCTTGTGTCTTTAATTTCTCTTTCTTGCTATTCTGAGCTGACTGTTCAATAGAAGCAATAGTAGGCATCTTTGTCCTGTCCCTGATTTTAAAGGGAATACTTTCAAAAGTTGCCCATTTGCTCTAGGATTTTGATAGATATTCTTTAACAGGTTAGGAATGTTTCTTTCTATTCCTAATTTCCTAAGAGTTTTTATCATTGATGTGCATTGAATTTTAACTGCTTCTTCTGCATCTCTTGAGATGATTATGTGGTTTTTCTCCTTTAATCTTTTAATGTGGTAAATGCTGTTAGCTTTCTAATGACAAACCATCCTTGCATTCTTAGATTAAACCAATTTGCTGGTGGCCTATTATCATTTTACATAGTGCTAGATTTCATAGTGCTGACATTGTTTGGGATATTTGCCTCTATGTTTATGAGTGAAAAAAGGTAATAATAGTTTATTTTACTCTCCTTGTCTGTTTTTGCTATCAATGTTATATTGGTCTCATAGAATGAATTGGGGAGCATTTAATCTTTTTCTATTTTTTGGAAAGGTTTGTATAAGATTGGAATAATCTGTTTCTTTAAAAGTTTGGTAGAAGTCACCAGTAAAACCATGTGGGCCTGATGCATTTTTGAGGAAGAATTTTAAAGTAAGATTTATTATTATCTTAATGTTAGTGCATAAAAAATAAGGTTAATTAGAGAAGGAGACAGAGGGAAACTTCAGATACTGAGGTGAAGATCTGGGCAGGCTCAAGGCTGTTAAAGATTGATGGCATAAGTCATTCTATTACCCCAAGATGTATGACATTCCTGATTTTTGACAATTCTCACTTGCTCTACTTAAAATGAAGCACAGTTACAACCTTTTGACTGTTGAGAAAAATGAAAATTTAGAGAAGGAGCAAAATAGAATTTTCCCTAGCATAAAGGGGTGTTGTTTTCCCTTTGTACTTTCCCATACATTGTAATATGTAAACTCAGAGCTTCATTTTATTAAGCATATATTAGTGTTTTGTTTGTTTTTTCACGGTCATGGTCTCCTCCTCCTCTGGGGCCTTCTTTGCCCTCCTCCTGGAGCTGCGGCCAGGCCCCTTTGAAAGGAGGGTGTGGGTCACTCCTGGCTGTGACTGCCTACCTGCCCCTGCTGAGGGTCAAAGTCGCTCCCCAGGCATCAAGGGGACCTGCAGGCCATTGTTTTCCTGCAGGTTCACATGCTTCAGAAATCACACAAACTGCTGCAAGGAGCCCAGGAAAGGTTTTCAATTACTCTTTTAACTTCCTTAATAGTTATATGACAACTATTATCAAATCAATTTTAGTCAGTTATTTTTCTAGGAATTAGTCCATTTAGCACAAGTTTTTGAATATAGTGACATACAGTTCACAGTGTTCTCTTAGTTTTTAATTTCTTCTCTCTCTGTAGTTACATTCCCATTTTATTCTTTATTTTGTGCCATTGCTCCCTTTTTTTTCTTTTGGTGAGGAGAGATTGGACCTGAGCTAACATCTGTTACCAATCTTCCTCTTTTTTTTTCCTTCCCAAAGCCCTTGTACGTAGTTGTATATCCTAGTTGTAAGTCATTCTAGTTCTTCTATGTGGGACACCACCACAACATGGCTTGATGAGTGGTGTGTAGGTCTGCACCCAGGATCGGAACTGGCGAACCCTGGGCTGCTAAAGTGGAGTACACGAATTTAACCACTCGGCCATGGGACTGGCCCCTCATCTCTCCCTTTTTTCCGTCAGTTTCACCAGAAGTTTGTCTCTTTTATTAATCTTTTCAAAGAACCACCTTTTGGCCCTGTTGATCTTTTCTATTGTGTGTTTATTTTCTATTACATTGGTTTTTGTCTTCTTTTTGTCTTCTCTTTCCTGCTTTATTTAGTCATAGTCTGTTTTCCTTTTCTAACTCAAGTTGAATGCTTATTAGGTCATTAAATCTTAGTCTTTAAAAAAATATTTTAAGCATTTAAGACTATGGATTGCCCTTTAAATACCATTTTTGGTGCAGCTCCCAAATTTGAATATATAGTATTTTCACTACCACTCATTTCTAAATATTTTTATTTTATTCAAAAGCTATTTATAGGGGGCTGGCCCCATGGTCGAGTGGTTAAGTTCGCGCGCTCTGCTTCAGCAGCCCAGTGTTTCATTGGTTCGAATCCTGGGTATGGACATGGCGCCACTCATCAAGCCACGCTGAGGCAGCATCCCATGTACCACAACTAGAAGGACCCACAACTAAAATATACAACTACGTACTGGGGGGCTTTGGGGAGAAAAAGGAAAAAAAATAGAATCTTTTTAAAAAAAGCTATTTATAT